CGGCACGGCGGGTCCCGGCGGTCGCCGGTGCAAACCCGGTCGCTTTGCTTCAAAGCCCACCGCGGGCGGGGAGGGCTTTGTCTCCTCGCAGCTCCCCCTGTGAAGTGCCCAGCCGGGGTGAGGGCCGGCAGGCTGGAGAGGCTTTGGAGGTGGGCCTCGGGAAGTCCAACGGGGCCGAGAGCAAGGTCGAGGCAATTCCAAGCACAGATACAAGGACAGATACAAGGGGGTGTTGGTGGATGAGAAGCTCCACACGAGCCAGCAGTGTGCACTCTCAGCCCAGAAAGCCAACCCCATCCTGGGCTGCATCAAAAGAAGCACAGCCGGCAGGTCATGGGAGGTGATTCTGCCCCTCTGCTCTGGTGAGACCCCACCTGGAGTACTGCATCCAGCTCTGGGGCTCCCAACGTGAAAAGGACGTAGACCTGTTGGAGCAAGTCCAGAGGAGGGTCACGGAGATGATCAGAGGGCTGGAGCACCTCTGCTGTGAAGACAGGCTGAGAGAGTTGGGGTTGTTCAACCTGGAGAAGAGAAGGCTCCATGGAGGCCTTAAAGTGACCTTCCAGTGCTTAAAGGAGACCTAGAGGAAGGATGGGGGGGGACTCTATATCAGGGAGTGGAGCAATAGGACGAGCGGTAATGGTTTTAAACTGAAAGAGAGGAGATTCAGATTGGATATTAGGAATAAATTCTTTACTGTGAGGGTGGTGAGACACTGGAGGCTTTGTCTCCTCGCAGCTCCCCCCGTGAAGCGCCCAGCCGCGGTGAGGGCCGGCAGGCTGGAGGGGCTTTGGAGGTGGGCCTCTGTGAACCTCGGGAAGTCCAACGGGGCCAAGAGCAAGGTGGAGGCAATTCCAAGCACAGATACAAGGACTTGGGGGTGTTGGTGGATGAGAAGCTCCACACGAGCCAGCAGTGTGCACTCTCGGCCCAGAAAGCCAACCCCATCCTGGGCTGCATCAAAAGAAGCACAGCCGGCAGGTCACGGGAGGTGATTCTGCCCCTCTGCTCTGGTGAGACCCCACCTGGAGTACTGCATCCAGCTCTGGGGCTCCCAACGTGAAAAGGACGTAGACCTGTTGGAGCAAGTCCAGAGGAGGGTCACGGAGATGATCAGAGGGCTGGAGCACCTCTGCTGTGAAGACAGGCTGAGAGAGTTGGGGTTGTTCAACCTGGAGAAGAGAAGGCTCCATGGAGGCCTTAAAGTGACCTTCCAGTGCTTAAAGGAGACCTAGAGGAAGGATGGGGGGGGACTCTATATCAGGGAGTGGAGCAATAGGACGAGCGGTAATGGTTTTAAACTGAAAGAGAGGAGATTCAGATTGGATATTAGGAATAAATTCTTTACTGTGAGGGTGGTGAGACACTGGAACAGGTTGGCCAGATAAGTTGTGGTTGCCCCATCCATGGAAGTGTTCAAGGCCAGGTTGGATGGGGCCTTGAGCAACCTGGCCTGGTGTAGTAGGTGTTCCTGCCCATGGGGTTGGAACTAGGTGATCTTTAAGGCACCTTCCAACTCTAACCATCCTGTGATTCTATAACATAGCCCTCCTGGCCTCCGACGTGCTGGGCTGGGCACAGCGGTGGCTGCCAGACTGCTCCACAAGGCATCAGGGAGTTTTGATGCTGCTATTTATAATGTACAGATGAGGCTGACTCCTTTTGGACTTATAGCCTGATGGGTGTGCTGGTGATGGAGATGCTGGTGATAAACATGGCGTCTGGCAGTACGGCGCTTGGTTAAACTGGAGGGTCTGCCAAAACAGTCTGATAAGCTTCCATGTACGTCCTGTTTGACAGCACAGAGAGAAAAAGCAACACAAAGGACATCAGTTACACTACAGTGAGGAGCCACCACAGCTGTAGATACTGGGTACATATGGAAATGCAGGAGATTCACTGGATTTGCTCCTGACAGTCAACCATCATGGAGGGACCCAGCAGATACTCATTAGCGATTTCATAGAGATGTTTCTGTTTCAGACGTGCAATTCTCACACCTGCTTAGCTGGGACATCCCCATGAAGTGTCTTGCTGATAACCCAGAGGTAAATTGGTTGGGAAGCTTTGACAATCAATTACAGTGTTCTTGCTTGTGCCTTCTCAGCAGAGGGCAGCCGTCAAAATCTCACGGGAGTAGTCAGTTTCATGGCTTAACTATTTTGAAGAAGTCAGATGCCAGGTAGATCGAAACTTAATGGAATTGCTTGTTAACTTTAGGAGTAAACAAAATTGCGCAATATATACATAAAAAAGATTTAATATACTTTTTCAGAAAGAGATGCACTCTATGGGGTCAGTCACTTCCTATGCTAGGTAGGCACTAGAGGAAGGAGTACCTTTCTTGAGTTATGCATAGGCATTTTGCTTCGTGATCCTGTAGACTTTAGTGACTAAAACCCACAAAAGCTGTTTTCAAAACACTGAGCTTTTTCATGGAAAGGATTTCTGAAGTAGCAAGAAAGGAATGCAAATCTTAATGAAGCCACACATCACCCCTGCGAGGTGGACAAAGATAAAGCTCATTGCTGCAACTCCTAGGGAGGGACACCACAGTTGTTAAATCAAAGCACAATGCCAAGACATGCAACAGTTTACAAAAGCAAGGGATAATGTTCTGTACAGCTAAACCTTGAGGGAAAGTTTAGGGACACTAAGAAATTACCTAATTTGGAGCTGAAGTAGGGCCTTAGAGTTATCGTATCTGCACTCATAAAAAGGTTCAATATGTAAAAACTAATCTCAGTACTGAAGTCTCACTGCTCTTTTAAGCCAGTATCCCTCGCAGGAGAGTATCATCTCACACTTTTCCCAGGGCATTAACAAATACTGGATCAAGAGGAAGATGATAGGTATTGATTCCCCAACATTACTGGTGCCCGCTTTACAGCCTTGCTCCTTCTTTCATCTAGACCAATATACCCAAAGCTCTGTTAGTTTACAAAGCATGGCAGAAGTGGCATATTTCATGTACTGATGTAACAGGAGGGGCACTGTTCACCAGGGTTTGAATACTTCTGTGTACCTGCACGGACAGCAAAAGGAGTCAGTCATCCGTGATTTACTTCCTTAACTTCCAACGAGTGTAGAGCAACCTGATGTTCTTATAGAACAAATGAGGAGGTGGAGCAGACACATTGTTTGCTCACCTAAAATCTGATACAAAGTAAACTGAACTTTCATCCAGCCCACCAAAAACATAATTCCCTCTGGTGCAGCAGAGTAGCCTGGTTCCTCGCAGGAGATGAAGAGGGTCACAAAAGCAGCAGCTCTGGAGAACACCAAGGCCTAGGTCTCCACAAGGACCAAGGAAGCAGACATGTTTATCCCAAGGGAAGAACTACGGGGCTGCAGCCCCTCCAAGAGACTGAAAGCACACAAGGGACAATGTTGCCACACTCAAACTGTGCACTTAGCACCAAAAAGATGTGAAGGTTCACAATACCTTCTACAGTCAGCTCCTCCTTCAGGAAATAGAAAGGTCACGCTCTGCCTGCAATCCCTTAATCCAGTGTCACCCCACCCAATGCCCGAAGAGGGAAGCAGCCATGACCCCAACCAGGTTTTCCCCTACCAATATGCATCCCACCCTCATTTCAGGAGACTTTGTTTGGTGTACTCAAAGCTATCAGAGGTAAGGCTCACTGAAAGCACCTCCAATGGGACTACCAGAAATGGAGTCGCCCCTTGTCACTGGGCCCTTGGCACAGACAAAGCTGGCACTAACAACAAGGCTTTTCTGTGTGGAGCCTGACTGAGGTTTTACATCCCTCATGGGGTGGTGTTCTTCTATTAGTATCATCTTTCAGCTGATTTCATGCAACCTGAAATATAATAAAGTCTATTCATACTCAGAGCGTATGAATTCAGTAAAATTTGTTTAAACCTAAAATGAGACATGCAAAGGCACTTCCACTGGCTTCAAACAACAATTTGCTTTCACAATCAGCGCAGAATACTTGCCTCAGACTGATTCCCTATTGATGCCTACAGATTTTAGCCCTGTGCTTTTGGAATAAAACTCAGCCGGAATAAAATGTTGTACAAACAGCAACTAATCTTCACAATCTCCTTGCTACATATTGTAAAATCCTTCGTACATATGGCAACATCAAGAGGCCAAATGACAAGCCCAAGAGAGATCTGGATGTTCCTCCAGGCCAACTTCCCTGCAATGGATGAGGCAGCATCCAGAGGAGACCCTACGCTGTGGAGAAGAGCTTGACCTTGCTGAACTGCATGGCATTGCCTCAGAAAAATAGTTTGTGAATAATAGTTCCCTGAAACATTCTGTGTAACTTTTTTCAACTCTCTATTTAAGAAATATTTTTTTTTTTAAAAGGGGCTACTGTTACCTCATAGTACAAATTCCGTTAGTATTGCTCATTTCCAAACTGCACGGGAATGCAAGTGCTTAGGAAGAACAAAATGAGCATCTGAACAAAGAACACGATGTTTTGTGTTACATTTGGACCAGCTTTACCTGCCGAAGCCCTTTCACAAATCACATCAACAACAAACTGATAACTTATGTCCCAAAGCTTGCCGCCTCACGAATTAGAACAAGCTAATTTTGCATCCCTAAAATGACAGTTGTAGTCAGTAGGGAACTCACATGTGAGTTGTGTTACTGCTATTGTCACTGTTCCTAAACCAAAATAGGATGCTTTCTGCATTGTTTGCCTAAGAGTACACAAAATGCAATTCCCGTTTAGCCAAGGATTTTAATGAGGGATTTTCCAGCATTTGGGGAAGTGTGTGGTTTTTTTTGTTTTTTTTTTTTTTTACTGGAACAGGAGACTTAATCAAACAATGCTAATCACACCAAATCCTCCCTTCTCATGCGGAAAAGTTAAGATTCAGTTTCAACTTACGCTGATCAAGGAAATGGCTTGAACTCGCTGGAGCCTCTAAAATCCGGTCATCCCGGTGGGATGCGGTGGTGCAGCTCTGGCGGTGACCACCTTTTTTTTCCCATTTCTTCCCCGATTTTACACCCCAAGCCTCCCGCTCTGCTCGGGAGCACGGTCGGTGGGAAGGGGGGGGAGCGGGACCGCGGCTCCGCGGGCGGAAGGGACGGGGGAGAGCCCGGGGCCGGCTGGCTCCTCCGGTTCTCCCCGCCCGGGACAAGCCGCCACGCTGCCCCCGTGGGTCCCGGCGCCCCCGGAGCCGCCGCCGCCGCCTCCCGCCCCGCGCTCCGGCCGGGCAGGTGCGGCGGAGGAGCGGATCCGGGCTTGCTGCCCCCGCACAGGTAGGTGCCGGAGACAGAAGCCTCCAGATGCCTGGACGCTGCTGGCGAGGGAGGGAGGGAGGGAGCACCTTAGACAGAGTCAGCCGTGCACAATAAAGTTTCCGTCATCCCCTCGCACATACCTCTCCGGGGTGTTGTTATATACCGCGGTTATCTCGAAGGGCAGAGCCATGAGTACATACTCCCCCGATTTCTGAAACGCTTTGCTCAAGGCAAGATGTGAGAGAAACATCTCGCATGCACTGGGCTGTTCCTTCCTACCTCCGGAGCATCTCTCGCTGGGAAGGACACCCTGACACCCCCTGCGAACCCGGGCTTCTGCAATTCTGAAGCGTCACGGAGCAAAGATGTTCAAGACTGTAAAAAAAAACCCAAAAGGTGGGCAGAGGTTTTGCTGCTGCTCAGCCGGGACAATGCTGTTATAGAGACCTTGATCCTGCAATGGTTTACCTTTGTAACCGGGGAAGTAAGTGCACCCACATATGGCAAGCTTTGGGGACTGGGGATAAAACAAGAAGACACAGAAATCTTCCCTGGCGTCCCTAACCCCAAGCGTTTCGGTGACCCTGTGTCTGCCCCAAAGCAACACTGCTTCCTTTCTCCAAACATACAGAAGTGTGCCCTAACCTCCATCTTCTAAAACCATTTAAACTGTCATTTATTTGAATCGATCAACTAAATCAAATACCTTTTATTAGATAAAAAGTGCACCCAAGTTGAGTCATAAATATTACTATATTAATTATGTCCGATTTGTCACCTCCTTACTTATGTCAAGAAGGCTGGCATTCATTACAATTAGTCACTATAATTCGCATTGTCCAAATATGGGTTTATTTTTGGAGGTTTGGTATTCGATGGATTTGCACAGATTTTGAAATTGCTCGGGTCTGGTTCCTACTCCCCTGCTTCCACCCACCTGAAGTTAAGATCCCTAGAATGAGGAATTATGCTACAGACCGTGTAAACGTAATTATATATCGGCACTTAAAAAGTCTGTCCCCAGCAAAACAGTCTGGGGGGGGGGGCTTATCAGATTTTGCAAGTTATGCCACGAGTCGGAATCCACACCTAAAAGCTGTCCTTAGAATTATCAAAATACCGAGGGTGTTGTTGAAGATAATTTTCATCAATCCTCTTATTTTAACCCTAGATTGGGTTGCCCCCAATCCACGCTGGGGTGATTAAGAAGTGCTTGGGACGTGGGGGTGGGGGTAAGTGTCAAAGAAAAATCGCCCGGCCACGCCAAGGTCCACCCACTTCCCCCGCGCCGCGCTATAAAAGGGAGCGGTGGAGCGCCGCTCGGCACTGGGTACTGCACACACACACAGACGGAGTTCTCCCTCCTCAGGAAACCCTGCAACTCCGGGTCGCTACTACAAGAACATTTCTCTCAGTGGATTATCCTCACTGTCAGGTAAGAACTAATTTTTTGGGTTTTTTTCCCCCCCTCCAACAACAACAACAAGAAGAAGAGATGCAGGGGAGGTGGAGAGGAAGTAAAAAATCTACTAAATCTGGACTGTTTTGAAGAGCTTGGCGTTAACGCTGCGGAGCCTTGCACTGGCTCTTGGCATCAGCTTCAGTTTACAACATAGGATCCAGAACTAGCTGGTTCTGCGTGTGAAGTGGGAAGATGAGCTAGCAGGGGATAAACTTCCAGGCAGCAAAACACTTGCTGGAGTTTGGAAACGATGCGTCCGATAGCCTGCTCCCTCTGATCTCCCGGGTTGGCTAAATCCTAGTGCGAGCCGCTGGGGGTATTCTGGAAATCCTGCTGGTTTTCAGCCGCCTCTGCAAAGTCAAACTCTCCACAAACGTAAACTTTGGGGGCTCTGTTATTTACTCTGTGATAAGTTGTTAAGCAAATATTAGCTTCTGGTTCATATCGCACACAAAGTCCCCGGTAGCCTGGGGGCTCTCCGAGGGCAGAATCGCCAGAAATAAAGGACAGACCTTACTTGACTTTTATTAACAACCGTGCTTACAGTTCTTCTCTTTTCCCTCCACCAGGAACCCAGCCAGAATGAAACTAGTTCACGTCGCCCTGCTCTATCTCGGCTCTGCGACCTTCTTGGGGATGGATGCTGCAAGGGTGGACGTAGCGACAGAGTTCAAAAGAAAGTGAGTATCGGAGCGCGTCCGTCCTCCTGCCAGCGCCCAGCCCCTCGCGTAAGAGCTGCGGAGCCTCCGCGCCCCCCGCGCCGGGCTCCGGCCGTGATCAGAGGAACCGGATTCCCTGCGGGAATTGCACCGCTCCTTTTTAAAGGCCTCATGCCCTTTCAGGAAACATCCAAAAAAAAAAAAAAAAAATCTCGGCGCTGGCAAAGATTATCGCCCCTCGAATCTATTTGGTTTGGCTCCCGCCCTGCAGGCTTGCTCTAACAGGCTGTCCTCTTCCCTTGCGCTCCTTTCAGATGGACGAAATGGGCACTGAGCCGAGCCAAGCGGGACGTGAAGCTGTCGGGCGCTCTCCGGGGGCTGGGGGCAGCCGCCGCCGTGCAGCCGCTCGTACGGAGCCAGGACGTGAAGGAGGATCCCCGAGTCTCGCATCCCAGGTAAATTCCAGCCCTTCCTGGGCTCCCCCACTTGCTCGAGGCGGTGGAAAGTTTCCGGGTCCCCTCGTTTTCTGGGTGTCCGGGCTTATTCTCGCAATAGACCCCCCCCCAAAGCCCCGGAGACAGGTCCTGCCCTAGGTTGCACATCGCGCTGAAAGCAGCCTCCCGCTCCCCGCGCTCTGGCGGGAGATAGCAGCGCCTTTACTGTGAAAGTCAAATATAAATAGTAACTTGAGCTCTGGATCTATAGATAAAGTAACAGCCATAAAACGGCGGGGCCTCTCCTGCCATCATCAGCAAGCTCTGTTTTGCCACTTTTCCGCCCGGCGGACGGCAGAACCGGGGGGTGGGGGGGTGGGTGATGGGGGGCTCCGCACCGCCGGGCCAGGCCCGCCTCCAGCCTGGGGGGCTCCCTGCCCTCCCCGCCCCAGGGTCCCCTCCTCCGGGCCCCCACTGCGCTCTTTCTCATGCCCGCTCTCTCTCTTTCCTTCCTCGCAGCGGCTGGGAGGATGCTCACATCCGCGTCAAGCGCTACCGCCAGAGCATTAACAGCTTCCCGCACTTCCAAGCCATCCGTACGGGGTGCCGGTTCGGGACTTGCACGGTGCAGACGCTGGCCCACCAGATCTACCAGCTGACCGACAAGGATAAGGACGACGCCGCTCCCGCCAGCAAGATCAGCCCCCAGGGCTACGGCCGCAGGCGGCGCTCCCTGCCCGAGCTCCTCAGCCCACCGCGCTCCCCCCGGCCCGGACGCCGCCTCCGGACGCGGCCCGTTCAGCCCCTCGTCGCCCGCGTCCTTGGGATCTGAGCCCAGGCCGCTCGGATGGATGGACTGAGGCACGGAGGCTCCGGAGCTCCGCCGCCGCTCGGGACCCGCTGCCCAGGATTTGTGGAGAAGCGCCTGCCCGGGCGGGATCCCGGCGCGCCCTCCCTGGGCGAGGGGGGAGCGGCGGGGACGGCCGGTCCCGCGGCCCCCGCCCGCGCCCGACACGGGGAAGCTGTGAAGGCCGCGTCCCGCCGGGACTGCTCCCCCCCGTCCGCCGCAGAGGCGGGGCGGCCACTGACTCTTTACCCTCCCCGGGCGAAGCTCCCGGGACTGGAAGACGCCCCGTCCCGCGGCTGCCCCGCCGGACGCCACGTCGCCCCCGGCCCCGCCGCTGCACCCGGAGTGGGGGGGGTGGGGGGGGAGCGGGCCTTCCTCGGCGGCGGGCCGCGCTCGGAGCTGTCCCGGCCCCGTCCGCCCCGAGGAGGGAGGGGCTGCTCAGGGGGAGCCCCGCGGCCGGGGGGGACCCGGCACCCCCGGGCCCGGAGTCGGCGGCTTCGGTTTCTGCCCCAAGCGTTTGGGGGTGCGCGGTCGGGCCTCGGCAAGGCCAGGGCGCTCACATCTGCTTTACCCTCTGCGTTATCGGCACCCGGCAGGGAATCGGACACTCACTAGTCCCTGCGGGGACTGCGATATACTTGAACGTCACAGAGAGGAAAAGTGCAATTGTACGTGGTTTTTCGTTAATTTTAAAGTGCGGTGTGTGTGGGTCATGAGATACGTATCGGTATTTAAGATTGTCCTGTGTCATGTCCTGTTTGTATCTTTTTTTTTTTTTTTTTT